TATAAGAAATTTAATAAAGTATTACGATGTAGACATAGGCTATTGAAAGCATTTTTAAAATGTTTACAGAAAACCGAGTCCAGGTTAGAGTTTTATTTATATTTCAATAATATGAGCCGATACTGAAACCTAATTAGTAAGAGTTTAAAATGTTGACAAAATCAATATCAATTTGATATTTGCGATTAATCTTTTAATAAAACGTCTACCGTAATCGGGCACCATCGTGCTTCGATAGAGTTTTGGTGTGATAGAGATGTCCTTAATAAATATCTTATTACAAAAGTTGAACTTGATAAGAGAACATTTTACATTTGTGTGTTATATAATCTAAATTTTTTATGTGCGATTTTATTTACTCAATAAGCGAGGTCTCATTTAACTTGGCGATTAAGATATTTGAAAGGAAAAATTGTTAAATATTCCCATAATTCTAAAAAATATATCCTATCATTAACTTTTGAGATTTTTATGACAAAATTATAAATTTGATTTTTGGATTAATTGATAGATATATCAAAGTGGTCATTTTTTCTATACGAAATATCTTTCAAGATAATATGTAGTTAGGAAATATATGTGGCTCTATATTATTTATTACGGGTTTGATACTCTTTATTTGTAGTGGGTATTCTAGAGGTTGGACATATTATAAAATATAAGCCTTCGTCATTTTGCTTAATTTTGCTCTGAAGTTGCTAATGATGGCACTATTATTCTTTATCAATTATCATATTCAATGATATGTGTAATGTAAAAAATGGTTTACTACTGAAAGATGAAGCCTTTAATTTGGATCCTGAACATCTAAATAATTGGCATGGAGACTTAATTTATAGATTTTATTTATACAATAAGGTTTGATAAGATGAACAATGTATTTAAGATTCATTTCAGAATTAACCAATATTATTATCCATAGCTAATACTTTTGCATCTCCCACTTACCAATTCATTTACCAATCTTCATTCAATGGTTAATATCAGGCGTGTAAGCAAGAATTTGGTCTGGGGGGTGGGAGGGATAATAAATATTTTTAAGAAATATTATTGTTTCTTAGAAATATCAAGCATAATTTATTAAGACTAATAACTATTTCTAATACACAATTTTTAATGTGAATTATAAAAAAATTATATGTAAAGAATCACTTAAATGACCCAAAATAGAAATTTGAATTTTTTGAGCCTTTACACAAAAAGTTTCTTAAGAATAATTGCATTTTGTATGTTATATATTAACAATGTAAAATTCAATCTTCGTTGTGATTGAGCTAATTTTTCAATTATCTCATCCTTGCCTGTCGTCAAATGCCTATGAATATTCAAAAGATCCAAACCTTTCAATCTACTTTCAGATGTTGTACTTCTTGGTATGTTTTTCTGAGACCTGCAGGCCCGGCCCTCGGGCCGGACAGTATTTTAATTTTTTTAAATATACCAGGGCCGGGCCCGAAATTTTTTTAAAAAAACCCAAGCCGGGCCTGAATTATTTTTTAAAAAAACCCAATCTGGGCTGTATTTTTTTAAATAGCCTATATTTGAAATCGTTATTATATTAGCTATAAAAATCAAAAAAAATATAATTTATTTTAAAAAAAGCCAGGTCGGGTCTGAAAATTTTTTTAAAAAAGCCGCGTCCGGCCTAAAAAATTTTTAAAAAAAAGCAGGGCCGGGTCTGAAAATAATCTTTAAAAAAATATGGGCCGTGCCCTGCAAATGGTACTTCTGCAGGCCTATGTTATTCTTCTTAAAAAAGAGAATGTTCTCTCATTAGTTTACTAATGGGAAGAGTTTATAAACCCTTTTAATACATTGGGAATTTAATCTAAAATGTTTTTGAAATAATGCAGAGCATCCATAGCATTTTTTGGGACTATATCAACTATAGTTAATCTTATAAACATAGTTATTCAGTTTAAAATGTTTTTGAAATAATGCAGAGCATCCATAGCATTTTTTGGGACTATATCAACTATAGTTAATCTTATAAACATAGTTATTCAGTTAGTAAGACATCATAAGATACTTTAAGATATTCATAATAAAAATCTAACAAATATTTTTTTTTTCACCATCTGAAAAAGGTTGAGAAGGCTTTTGTGGAAGTAATATTTGCAGATTAATAAGTGCTGCATGATGAATAAAAAATTAATTTATTTGGGTTATAAATGTATCTGTATTTATAATATACTATTCTACTGATCCTATATTAAAGTTTTAACGATGAGCTTGTCTTGCTACAAGTCGAGGGGGACAAATATTAAACACGTATAGCTCTGCTTTTGACTCAACAATTATATATAAAATATGAAATTCTTCATCAACATTAGCCCTAATTTCCTTGAGTTCTGATAAAATGCTCTCCGCTATTCTCATCTTCTTAATCAAGTCAATGTCATGTTTTGAAAAATATTATTTAAAATAGTTATATAATTAAATAATACATTCTAATGAGAAATAAAATTTGGAATAAGCATTGAATCCAATAATTTTCTTGCTTCTGAGGAAATATTTCTTTCAGACCATTGTTATATTTCAGTAATAGCAAATATTGGCTCTTCTAACTCCTTAAAAGCTGTTACTGCTTGATGGCGGAGACTCTATCTCGTTGGACAAGGTTGCAATTTCTTATTCCCTGTTGGACAAGAAGTTTCAGAAATAATTATTAATTGACTAGAAATTTGTTAATAGTAGATAAATATTACGCTACTAAAAATTTGAAAATAATAAGTAAATATTACGCCGGAAAACATGAAATAGAAATAATTGATAAAATAACTTAGTAGATAAATGTAATTAAATATATATTTAACATGAGATACGAATAAATATTAACAAATATAAATTAGTATAAACAATAATATTTTTCAAAAATATATCCGGCATCTGCATTTTTTGGCTTTGGGAGGGGGGATTTGTCACCATGACCCCCTCCCGCTGCGTAGGTCTGTTGACATAATATTGATTACTAAAAGTTTGGAAGAAACTCAAAATATGACCTATATACTGAATCCCTTTTGAAGGTTGACTTGGATATTTGATAAAACAGAGATAATGCCCGTGTCAGGTGCCCTTTTGAATAGTTTGGTGGTGGGGGGAATGTGGTCAAGGTGGTGAACTATAAATATTTGGGTGTAACCATTGACATAAAGGTAGCTGTAAAGAGGAACTAAAAATCTGTATACAAAATGCTAGAGCAGCTTCTTATAAATTTTTCAAAGTGGGAAAAGGAGATATCCGTTTTTACTAAACTCCGTATTTTCAAATCAAATAAAATCCGATTCTCTTTTATGGCAATGATACATGTGAGATTAGCAAGACCGAAACTAAGAAACTACAAACGTTTGTAAATAAATGTCTAAGATTAATAATTGGCATCTTCTACCCTAATATTATCATCAAACCCAAGTTCAAGTGTCATTAAAAAAAGAAGCGCCTTAGCCTTACTTTCTTTGCCCATATTTTGACAATTGGTTATACTCCTTTAATGGGAAAACATACAGCAAATATAAGACATTATGGTTCTAAAGACTTTGAAGGACATAATGGATTTAAACTTAAATTTGAAACAGTTCCTAAGGCTATAAAAATAAAAAGTTTCTAAAGAAATTACTAAAAATTAAATCGAACTATCTAAATCTCTCATAATTTTTTCCTGAATTCAGGTTATTTAATCTTTTTATTTCTCACTTTATCTCCTGACTTTGTCTTTCAGCTTTTCTGTGAATTCCTTTCTTCACTGACATTAGATTTTTTTTCATTTTAATCTTATCAATGTTTCAATGTACTTTAAATTTAAATAGGTCCGTCCAAGCTTTTAATTACACACATATGCAATGTCTTAGGTGTAGTTTTACTTCCTATACTACTTCCTATATATGATTTAAGATATGTTCATGGCATTGATTAATAGTTTGTGATTTGTGTATCTTATGTGAGCTAGAATTAATTTCTGTTCTTTTTAATGTTATGCTTACTTTTAGGTATGTTTTGTATTTTCCAACGATTTGAGTTTGTAATGTTTCTAGGGTAGAAGATATCTTCTTTTTTTTATAAAGCATTTTTTGTTTGTAATCACCTATTTCTATTTTTCTAACAAGTCCGTTTCCTCCATGAACTAATATAGGAAATATTGTTGTGTCTACAGTTTGGAAAATACCGAAATCTATCTTGTTCCATACTTTTATATACGTTTAAAAAGTTTTCGCTCACCTTTTGTATTCTAATTCTTCTATTTTTTGCAACTACTTTTATTATCAAGTGTGACTCCTAAGTACTTTTTGGTTATTACATTTGCCTCGTTATCTCCAACTATAAGTTTTTGAAGTTGTTAATATGACTGATTATATTTTATTATTCAAAAAATAAAGTTATATAATTTTTAGATAAATTTTATATTTCTTACCTTGAGTAATATTCAAAGTATCTTAAAAATTAGTTTTTTGTAAAATCTTATTTTTTGTAAGATATTTTAGTATTGAATAAACAACATACTAAAAAACGTTAATTTTATATAAATTTTTATTTCACTTATTTTGTGAATACTTATAAAACTGATTAAAGAAATTGTATATAAACTGTAAAATATTAATGTAAAATATCATAATAAATATTTTGAAATAAAGTTTATTTTTACCTATACCTTTTATACCGTGCCTTCCACAAATATTATGGTGGCAGTTAATAACTACCTATTAGTCATAAAGTTACCTTCGAAATACACTATTAAACGAATTTATGATGAAGCTACCAACAATTACGTTTACTTAAGACACAAAACCAGGACGATTGCTCATGTATATTACGAAAATTTTGAAGACATGCAACACGTTTTCAGGAGCATCAACAACAAGGAATATATAGACAGCGATGAAAAAAGATTTATTTTAAAAGCAAAGATGTATCGAAAATATTAAATAATTGTAGTATGATATATATTATGAATTTCAATAAATTATAAATAATTAAATATTAAAATATTATAAGATTATAATAAAATGAAACCATTGAAAAATTCTATACTTGGATGCCCTATATATGGTAATAACGTAGAATATTTCTTAAAAAGATTTGATGCAATACTAAAAGATCCACAGTATACAGAGGCTGAAAAGGCGTATGCTTTCACACAGAGACTTCCAGTAGAGGAATATCTAAAATTAAAAGCTATTTGTACGGTGGCAGAATTCACTAACCCGGCAATTGTTATCAAAAGGTTCATACATCCGGAAAAATCGGTGGACTCTTACATAAAAGAATTCAATGCAGCTGAACAAGTAATAGGTGAAACGTTCGAAAATTGGGTAAGCAAAATATGTAGATTAAATACTAAATGTAATTATGCTAATTTTGATAGAGCGATAGAAAAAATAAGAGTGTCGACCATTAACAAAGAATTACGAAAAAAAAAGTCAGAAGGGTTAACAATATCAGAAATATTAAAATTAGGAATGGAGTTTGAGGAACAAGAAGCTATCATAAATATAATTAATAAAACAGAAAATATAAAAATAGAAACTGACAATGGAGCTATCAAACAAATAGAAGGACGCAGGGATGATAAAATGGATAGGCGCATGGTTAAATATGATGATCATAACAAAGGGTCTAACCCACAAATGAATTATACAAATAGATATCAATGGACACCAAGATTTAACAATTATCAAGGGAACAATTATCAAGGTAGCAACCATCAATGGAACAATTATCAGGGGAATAACTACAACCCAAGATATCAAAACAGTTATTACCCAAGACAACAAAATTTTAATCCGCGATACCAAAACAACTATAGATATCGAAACAACTCTAATTCAAGATTCTATAATAGAAATAATTTTTATAATAATGATAATCGATACTACAATAATTATAATAATAGATTTAATAGACATCAAAATGAATCACGATACACACCTCGTTACAACTATGATCAAAATAACAACCAATCATATAACAATAGAAATCAGAGCAATAACAATCAACTCAGATACTCTAACAACGTAAACACTGTCGATATAGAGGAGATAAAAGAAGATAATAATGATAAAATAATAAAAAAAGAACACAATTTATTTAATTTGGGTGCAAAGAACTTGGACGAGGACAATTAAGCAAATGATGCATATAAAGTAACAGTATACATAAACGATGTCCCTACTATGATGCAGATAGACACTGGTTTAAGATACACAATATTGCCGATTAATATTGCAAGAAAGAGAGGAATCAAAATCTTAAATAAATCGGACATAAAACTCACGGGCTTTGATGGCAAGAGAATAGAAGTATTGGGAACTACACAAGTCAATGCAAGATTTGAAAAGAAAACTCATAAATTAAACGCGTATGTGGTTCAAAGTGACAAGATTGCACTTCTAGGAAGGACCTGGATAAGAGTTTTTGGAAATATATTGGATAAATTTGTAAATCAGATTGAAGAAAATCATAATGATACGATAGAAAATTTGATAAAAGAATGCAAGTCAAAAATCAACAAAAAACCGATCTGTAGAAGCAACGTCAAGTTATATCTAAAAGAAAACGCCACACCCAAAATAATACCACCAAGAAGAATTCCATACAAAAGAATTGATTTAATAACAAAAGAGTTACAGAAATGGCTCGACAACAAGATAATAGAACCAGTAGAGGAAGTACGCTGGGCAAGTCCACTTACTCTTGTTTACAAAAATGATGGATCGCTCACGGTAAATCCTGCTTTGGAGGACTTCAAATACCCAATTCTACGGATAAACGATCTAATTAAATCCTGCTTTGGAGGACTTCAAATACCCAATTCTACGGATAAACGATCTAATTGCAAAATTATCAAAAGGAAAAAAGTTCACCAAAATAGATTTCAAAGAGGCCTTCTTGCAAATTCCGATCGACAAGAATAGCCGAAACATTTTGACCATTTCAACACACAAAGAGTATTATCAATTCACAAGACTACCTTTTGGTTTAAAAACTTCATCTGCGATATTTCAAAGTACCATGGATCGAATATTTGGGGATATGAAGGACGTGATATTCTATATAGATGACTTACTGATAACTGGTGATAATGATGAAATACATATTAATAATATAAAAAAAGTCTTCGACAGAATAACTAAATATGGGCTCACACCAAATTTCGAAAAAAGCGTGTTTATGAAAAAAGAGATCAGATTTTTAGGACACGATATAGATGAAACTGGCATTCACCCGAACGAAAACAAAATAGATGCCATTACAAACATGCCAAAACGACAACAAAAGAAGAACTAGCGACATTTTTAGGCATGGCCAGTTATTACAGGAAATTTTTGTGCAACTTTGCTGACTTAGCTGATCCTCTTTATAAAATGGTTAACAAGGAAAAATGGATATTAGAAGATGCGCACCAAAAGAGTTTTGATGATTTGAAAACGTTGATTAGTAGTCCGCCTTTAAATTTTTACAACCCTGATCTACCAATTGGAATTGCGACGGACGCATCGAAAAAAGGACTAGGAGCCGTCTTATTTCACATCGAAGGAGATGGTAAAGAAAAACCTATTGCGTTCGCATCAAGAACTTTGTTAAAAGCTGAAACAAATTATACAAATATCGAAAGGGAAGCGTTGTCTATAATATTTGCGGTAAAAAAATTTCAGGAATATTTAATAGGGACCAAATTCATAATAATAACCGACCACAAGCCTCTTATATACATTTTTTCAAACACTCAAAGAAAACACTACAATATCGATGCGTTTACAAAAATGGAACTTGGCAATGGGAGCGTATGACTATACAATAGTACATAGACCGGGGAAAAGAAATTTAGTGCCAGATTGCTTATCGAGATTACCACAGGAAAATAAAGAAAACATGATAAAGAATGTTGTAGTTGAAAAAGTTGATGATAAATTATGGGATATACCAATAAACTTCAATCAATTAGTTAAAGAAACAAAGAATGATAAAGAATTAATGGAGATAATTGATAATATTAGAAATAATGAACCAATAAAAAACAAAACATACAGAAACATGGAAATGGAATTGAGTTTGATAAAACTTTGTTTATTTAAAGAAAACAGAGTAATAATACCACTGAACATGAGAAAAGAGATTTTACACGAACTGCATAAAGGACATCTGGGTGCAGTCAAAACAAAAATGTTAGCTAGAGATTATTTGTGGTGGCCTGTTATAAACACGGAGATAGATCTGGAGGTAAAAAATTGTGACTCATGTAATAGATTTTCGGACAATCCTCACAATATACAAAACCCATGGGAACCAGCAACAAAGATTTTTGAACGTGTACATATAGATTTTGCACAATTTGAAAACAACAATTTTATGGTATATGTGGATGCATATAGCAAATTTCCGATTATAAAACGAATGAAAAACATTACGACGGAATCAACAGTAAAAGAATTGATGAGAATAATAAGCTTATTCGGAATACCACATAAAATCGTGACGGATAATGGTACGAATTTTACTAGTCAATTATTTAAAAAGTTTTGTGAAGATCATGGCATAAAACACATACTTACAGCACCTCATCATCAACAATCGAATGGGCAACGTGAACGGATGATAAAAAATGAGTCTTAAAAGAAATATGGAAAATAACACGAACATAGATTTGGACATAGCTTTAGAAAAAATTTTGTTTAATTATAGAAATACGCCGAATGATAAAACAAATATGATACCCAGTAAAGTAATGTTTTCAAGAAATATCAGGACGAAATGGGACTTAATCAAACCTACGGAAGATAACGAGAATGTTTTAAGAAGAAAAATATGCAAGAATAGAGAAATAGGAATAGGAGACAATATTTGGTACAAAACGTTTAAAGAAAATATTTGGGACAAAGGAGTAGTAGTACAAAAAGAAGGAAACTTGACATATAGAATAGATAATGGACATAACATTATTAGGAGACATCTTGATCAAATAAAGAAAAGAACAACAAACACAATAACAAACAATTATATTACACGGATTTTTAGAGGGGGAAAAGGTGAAGAAATTCAAAGTCAAACAAAAGTTCAAGTTCAAAACCGGAATTATGACTTACGATCTAGAAAAACATGATTATTATAAATAAATAAAATATTTGATAAAAATAAATTTTGAAAGCAGATAAATAGATAAATGGAAATGTGAAAGTTAAATGCAAACAACAGTTCAACCGACGATATCTAAAGAGCGATGATACAATGCACAGACGAATTCAAGACAGATCAACAAATAAATAGTGAAGCTTTAGAGGAGACGAACAACGGAGGAACGAAAGAAGTCAATTGAAAAAGGGGGAGATGTTAATATGACTGATTATATTTTATTATTCAAAAAATAAAGTTATATAATTTTTAGATAAATTTTATATTTCTTACCTTGAGTAATATTCAAAGTATCTTAAAAATTAGTTTTTTGTAAAATCTTATTTTTTGTAAGATATTTTAGTATTGAATAGTAACAACATACTAAAAAACGTTGATTTATATAAATTTTTATTTCACTTATTTTGTGAATACTTATAAAACTGATTAAAGAAATTGTATATAAACTGTAAAATATTAATGTAAAATATCATAATAAATATTTTGAAATAAAGTTTATTTTTACCTAAACCTTTTATACCGTGCCTTCCATAAATATTAGAAGTGGTGACATGTTTTGGGGAAAATAAGGAGAAAAACTGTTTTTATTGCTAGTTAACTATGACTTAAGGTTTTTAACTATTTTCTTGGACATTACAACGACTTCATCTGCGTTAAATATTATTCTTCTTTTTAAAACATAACGTCTTATTTGAGCCTATAAACTACATTGGTCTTTTCCCAGTGCTTCTCTTTTGTTTTTATTTTTATAATTTTAATTAGGAGCGGCGAGAGTGTTTAGGAATGTTTTACTCCTTCTTTACCCTGGAGAAGATTTTCTTCGTCATTTATTTCGAAGTATCTAAACAGCATGTATTAGTGGTTTTCTAGATCTGAAGGATGTTGAAGTCTATCCCACACTCTTACAGTGTTTCTCATAAATCTTCAGTTAAAAATTCTGCAATTCACGAATGTGAAGTAGGAGGGTATTTTGTATTTGCACTCTGCATGATTACTTTTCAGAATTAATATGGGCTCCACAATATTTTTGTTTGTTGAATATGGGAGAAAATCTTTTTGTTGTAATTTATTGCTAATTAACCCTATAACTTAAGGTTTCAAGTAGGTAAAGTAATTTTTCTTCTTTTTGGTTAACTATATTGAATATTAAATGATGTCATCTGCGTTGTTTATACTGTTTTTCAAAACGTAACGTCTCATTTGATCCTATATTTACTAGATCGGCAGTACCCATTGCTTCTTTTATGTTTTTCATTTTTTTATGATTTTAAATAAGAGCGCCGGTTTAGCTTTGTTTAACGCCTTTTTTTATCCTGAAGAAAGGGGATATTTTTTATCATTGTTTTTGAGGTATACTAACAGTTGCAATAATGGTTTTTAAGATGTGAATGATGTTGGGGTCTATCCCACACTCTGACAGCGTTTCCCATAAAGCTTCATGGTTAACATTATCAAAAGCACTGTTAAAATTTACGAATGTGAAGTAGGAGGCTATTTTGTATTTGAATTCTACTTGATTATTTTTCAGAGCTAATATGGGCTCCAGTATATTTTTGTTGCCTATACAAACATGTATTTTTAGGAAAAAGATTAGGTGTAAATGATATGTTTGGGTTTTTTTGAGAGAAACATAAAAAAATTTTATGATAAGGATATGAAAGCTCAGTGAACCTTAAATTTCTGTTGTCTTAGTTTTTTGGGAGAAGTTACATAGGTAGGATTTGTTCCATTCCACTGCAGTAGTTCCGCTCTCCCTTATTTTATTGAAAGAGGGAAAATAGGTAGCGAGATATTGACGTAGGTACAATTTTTGGATATTCTGTTAATATTAGACTTTGTTTGACAACTTGTTATTTTATTTATGAAGGAACCAGTCGAAACTGGGGCGAGGTTTGTAATTATTTTTGTTGGTAATTATTTTTCGTGAATGGTATACTATCATATATCAATAAGTCATAATGCCTTGTTAATCCTCTTCAAACATTTTTTTTCCTAA